GATCATTCACAAAATTTGAACATATGTGTTCATCTTGATCAGTAGTCAGGATTGTTGTGAGCTAACTAGTAAGGAGTTTGAAATATGCTTACTTGATTCTTACTAGACTCTAGTCGTTTGCAGGCAAAGCCAAAAAACATCAACTAACTCACCTGGGTTGGTTGTCCATTTGTATACTTGTGTGTACCAGGGCAATCAGACAAAGCGACACAACCTTATTGAATACAATGGCCTTTCAAATGTACTCCAAAAAGTTAACTACCTGAGAAACATCCTTTGGCTATTAATTTTCTATCACTTCCGCTAGATAGCGGTTTGGCACTCTTAGTCCTTTTAATGGTAGGTTCAATGAAAATAGGTTTATTTTGTTGTCTTGGAGAAAAGTTCTATAAGGCTCAGTAATGAGTGTTCCTTGGAAAGATAGCTAGGCCGGAAAAGGAAGCTCACTGTCAGGGAGGCCGCTGTCACCTCAGCTAGGTGGGCTAGAAATAAATATTTTTAAGATTCGTCCAAACAATTAAAATGAAACTAGAGATGAACCCTCCGTTTCTAACAAATGTAACTTAAAAAAATTACTGGTATTTTGATTGATATTTGGTTCTACTGATATTTCTAAGTATAAAAGGAATACATGTTTGGGAACTATAGAAATGCAGAGAGAGGAAAATTACAGCTCTCATACCCCAATTCTAGTATATTTTCATATGCATACATTTCTTCTCTGTTTTTGCATTGATGTAAGTGTACATGCTGTTTTGTCATCTGCTTCTTTCATTTAATATATCATGAATGACTTCCCACTACTTTAATGCACAGTGTACTACTGTAATCCAAAATTTAGCCAATCCCCTACTGTTGCAGAGGTATATGGCTTCCATTTTTTTATTCCAAATAACACTGAGGTAAATATCCTTGCACATAAATGTTTCAACACGTCTCATTCTTTATTTAAAATAAATTCTAGAAACGGAAATGATGGGTATAGGATATTAACATTTTCAAGTCTTATGATGGAAAAGTGTAATTTAGTGGGTTTTCTTTGGAATTTTACATTTCTAAAAATGGTGACTCCAGTGAAATGGCTAGGTCATATTCCGGGTCGCCTCCTCATGCTGGAACAGTCCCCAAACTGAGCTCCCAGTACTGGTTAGCCTATTAAATGTTAGTGTGAACTATTCATTCTCCCACGGCACCGCTGAAACAGCAAGCCTGAGTGACAGCTCTCTGTCTGGCATGCCAGCCCTGTCGCCAAGCCTCTGCACCTGCTCCTCTCCCATGCCAGGGCTGGCTGCGGCACAAAGTCCAGAGAGACCAGGCTGGTCAGCAACCCAAGGCGACTATATGTGTTTCCCCTTGCTTTCCCACTGTTCTTTCCAGATGGTCTCTGACACACTTGTGAAATGTCTCAGTCTGAACGTGAAAGACTGGGTACCATCAAGGAGAAGCCAAATGCATTCAAAATGAACGAGAAAATAACATCAAGCAACACCTCTTCAGCTGCCAGACTCCATTTTCAGAGTCTCTGTTTCATACGTCACACCAAAAACAAGTCAGAATTACACAGCAAAAGAGATGCATTAGTGGTCATTGTGAAAGGTGCTTTCTTCGAAGTTGAGAACCTATTTGACCTTGGGTGATATTAACCAAGTTGTTTCTTACTCCATTAGTAAGAAAAAATACAGTGAAGCTGAGGTACCCGCAGCAGCTTATCTAACCGCCTAGTTGAGACAGTGAGTTTCCGTTCCAGCCTCGCTGACAATCTTTCCAAGGAACACCCATCACTGAGCCTTAGGGAACTTTTCTCTAAGACTATAAAATAAACCTATTTTCATTGAACCTATCATGAAAAGGACCAAAAGTGCCCAACCAAAATAAGGTTTCATTCACCTCTTCAGTTGTAGAAAGATGAAAAGTGAAATGTTTACTGGCAAAAATAAATATTTTTACATCACCCACACATTTTAATGTACTACTTATAATGAATCTTTCTGTCCATAAGAAATAATGTATTTTGACTGTATAAGGAAAACCGTTGTTCTGGAAAATATATTTATATATACATTACAGAATGCTAAAAGTGCTTAATCTAAGACCTAACTGGAGTTTTACATGGACTCGGTTATGTAAATGCATCAACTTCCCCTTCTGTTACAGAGGATTAGGTAATTTGTAGTAAATCTCCTTCTGAAGACAACTAAAAAAAAAAAAAAATCCAGGCAAAATAATGGGAAAAAGCATTTTAAGAACATTAAAGAACTAATCGGTGAGTGAAGAATTGCTTGTCCAAGATCCAAGTGAAGGTGCAACTTGAGATGAGTCTGTCATTAAGGTTCTATTACCCAAGAGGAACTCACCAAGCAAATGTATCAGACTAAGCTAGCGGATCAAAATGCAGCATCGTGGATGACAGAGAGGGAAAGGACAATTGTTCTTCATGGAATATCCATCCGTATCTTCTGATTTTTGTATCATGTACAGGTATCACATTAAAACAAAGATAGGTCTAAGGACTATTAAATGCTCTGCTCCAATCATTTAGTGACTAATAATAATAAATCATACGCTCTTTTAAATCAATGAGCATACAGCTATACTCTAATTTTTCAAAATATAAAATTCAATGTTATCGTGAGACTTATAAACACATTCACAGAAGGTACATTTCTGTTATATTTCTTTACTCCAACTTTAGGGTAAGGCTTAGAATGCAATATCTTTTTTGTACTAGAGAATACAATTCTAAAAATATTAAAAATCTGCTTTTAATGATCAGTCAGTGCTCCAAGAACAGAAGGCAACCAATACCTAAATCTCTGATGGGTTTACTGTACAAATCTGGACCAGTATTCCTGCCCATTCACCACACTAACAGTTTCCATTACAGTTATCAAAGTTGCTAAAACCAGATCACAAGTTTAAAACGTTGGAAATTATAATTGGAATAGTATTTATCTTCCTGTAATGGAACCACAACATTAAATCAAGGCATGCCTTGTGTATTTAAAGACAGACTGTTTAAACAGAACCACACAGGCTCACTAACGAAACTGATCACATAATTTAGAGACCACCAATGAACTCCCAGCCTTTTAAATCAACCAAATTCTCCAAGGAAGATAGCATTTTCAATTTCTGTGAACATTTTCCCATTTTGATGCAGAAAACGAGTTCAAGTAGTTTAATAAAGTGACTTGTAGAGTCATACAACCATCAGTTCAGCTGAAGGGATGAGAGCAGAGTCCTGGAGGTAGGAAAGAACTTGTAGTGTTCAAGAAACTAAAAGAACAATATTGCTGGAGTGCAATTTGGTTGGGGATTGCAGCAGGAGGTGTAAAGGAAGGGACCCGCTAGTGGACAGGTCATGATGGGCCTGCAGACCATGACAAGAAACTGGATTTTACCTCAAGAGCAATAGGAAATCACTAAATTTTAGTGTCTACAGGTTGTAGGCACAGGAAAGAGATGACTTCCATTTTGAGATCACTCTTGCTGCAGTGTGAAAACTGCCTAAGGCTGGTAAAAGTAGGGGCTGGGATTTGAGTTCCAAGGCAACTAGAGTAGAGCAGATAAGGGGTAAGGGTGGCTTGGTCCAAGTTATGAAAGGTCCTTGAAAAATTGACCCCCCTCTGATATTTTTGCAAAAATGATCATCTATGATCATGCTGCAAAAATCCCAAAAGTGAAGGATGTTGCTGTCTTGTCCTACCAGGCAATTTTTTTGTGGGGAGTGGGGAGTGGGGAGTGGGGAGTAGGGGGGGAGGGCCGGGGTGGGGGATGCTTCCCAAAAAGTCAACGTGAAATTAAATATTTGTTTATTCTAGATATTAGAATATACTTGCAATCTTAACCATCACTGTTAAATGCAAAATGTAATTATTTCCAAAGTGAAGTTTTCAGTTTAATTTTAGGAAGGGTGATTAGGAGACGACCCGTGGGGTGTGGGGGAGGAGAAAGCAGCCCTTACGACTCCACACAGAACTGACAGCCAAGTACAAAGGCCTTGAGACAGGAATGAGACTGCCACGTCCCAGGTACAGAAAGGAGCCCACAGCCAGCACAGAGTGGACACCCATCAGCATTTGGAAGGTGTCCCATAATCAGTGCCCGTGAGTTATCTTCTTACCTCCACAACGATGGCACGCAGTAACCATCAATAAGGAGCAAGCAGGGAAAGGGCTATTTATTTTTCTCAGCTGCCAGGCAAGAGCTGATAAAACTCCATTCACTTCTGGGGAACCAAGAACAGAAACACTGGTTTTAAACAGAATGAAGACATCGAGAGGGTGCCTGTGTGCCCCCTACGGCGCAGTGACAATCAGGCTCTTCAGGGTCTGGTCACCGCATCAGCCCAGAAGGCACCTCCCTCCGCGCCCTCAAGTATCTGCGCTTCTAGAAAATTCTGAGGAACTTCCTTCCATGAGTATCATTGAACTCATTTTGTATAATATAATTTCGCTGACAGAAAGCTATGAACTAAAACACGTCCCTCAACTACATTGCTGCAGGATTTTTTTCCAAAAATACTCAGTGTATTTTTTAATGAGCCGTATCAATTCAGAAGGACCAAAAAGATTCTTAAAACGGGTTTATTTTGATTTCTTATATGAAATGTTTTGGTATTATATCTACATTTAATAAATATATACCTCAATTTATTCGTATACTCACATACTATAGGAAGACATTAGTATGCATTTAATAACACACATTCACTTGGGAGAAAAGACCCTTCAAGCCCCTGCACACTTGACAGCCGCGGCTCGCCCGACTCTGGGCCTATGAAACCACTAGAAAACAGGTTCTCTTCTCCGGGTGACGAAAGCGAACATCCCAGGCTGAATTTCGAAAAGGCAACAGGAGAGCGCGCGCTTACAGGCTAAATCTCAAACGTCATTTCCGGTCACCTGCCCTTCCGACGACGTTTAACGGAAGTTGCCGGACGTGACGAAGCTAAAACGCCCGTCAGGGGCAGGTCCCTCCTAGCAACCAATGGGCTCTGACCACCTCTCCAGTCTCCGCGGCCTGTGACGCCCAAGGGCGGGGCGCGGAGGGTGATACGGAAGCCGAGAGGGGCCCGGCCCCTCAGTCGCTCCGCAGGCGGGGAAGTGGGGGCGCGGCAGGATGGTTTACATCTCGAACGGTGAGTTGGCGGGGCCACGGGGGCGGGCTTCTCCCATCCTCACCCGCCGGCCCCGCGCCTCTGGCGGCCCTGGGCTTGGCGAGGCGTCTTGCTATGGACGGGGTCCCTCGGTGAGGACCGCGCCCGGCGCCCTCGCCCTCGTAGAGCCTCTGCTTGTGGTGCCTGCGCCCGGCCGTCCGCGGCCGTAACTAGTTAAGGCAACGCTGCGACCCCGTCGGCGTGGTGCTCGAAGCCTCCGCAACATCCCCGTGCCGGCAGGTGCGCGGATGAGGACTGAGGCGCAGGAAGTTCAAGCGCTTTAATTTAATTTCAGCGTCCCAGACGTAGGCAGTGCCCGCTCGGCGTCCTCGGAGGCGGGTGACGTCAGGTCAGCCCCTTGGTGCCCTGCGCCGCCCCCGGGAGAGGGCGCGTGGGAAGCGCCGGTGATTTTTGGCCCAGATTTCAAGGGGCACGGAAAGAAACAATACCCCTTGTAAGAAGTTAATTATTCCCGGAAGAGAGAATCTGAGAGAGACTTAATTCCAGCACTCCACGGAGTGACTGGGAAGGAAGGACACCCACTGCTGGGTCAGAGCAGTGCCAGGACTGCGTGCCCACCTGCTTGACGCAGGTGACGTAAATGCCTTGGTGCACCGTCCCGGGGACGAGGGCCTGGTTCTGTGTGTATCTTCAGAGCTGATTAAGGTGTAGTCGTGGGAAGTCCGGGACGGAGTGCACTTGGCGTCTCTTTGCTCTTTAAAGTCTCACTCTCTTCTCCCACAAAATCCTTCGAATCGAGTAGGTTGATGGACCCGAAAGGAAAACACGAAGTTTCATCTTAGTTTTGGGCATATGTAGCCCTTGTTTTAGGTCCTTTGTGGTTAAGACTGGCAGCTTCTATTTATGCATCATGGAGCAATTCTTTGTAGTGTGTCTGACTGCTTATGCATTATCGTATTTGATCTGCATAAATAACATAAAGTTCCTATTAGGACCTTTAATCTCACTGTCATATTTGAGAAATGTCAGTTGCGTTCCACTAACTTACTTCTCTCTTGAGGATATTGGGGGGGCGGGTGCTGCCTACCTTTAGAAACTAGGGGTAAATAAGTGCAAAAAGCAAGATAGAATGATGTAAGTACACGCAATAGGTTCTTCACAATCACAAAGGAGGAATTGATGGACTCCAGTTACATCTATTATCTTAGAAGGACTGTATTTATCACCACTTCATACTTGACAAAACATTTCTCTTACTTCGTGACCCTGTTTTTTCCCTGCAATCCTATTTGATGACTGGTCTTGGAATACTTCTCTCAGAGAAGAGAAATGTCACACGTCAGCCAGTGAAGCAGAGACAGTTAAGAGGCAGGACCAAGCCCATTACCCACACTCAGTGGAGCCCATTTTTTGTCAATAGCGCTGAGAGAACTCGGGTCCAAGTGGATACCTGAAAGGAAGTTGATCAAGGAAAGAGAAGTAAACCTTGAGAAAAATGGAGGAAAGGTGGTTGACGGCTCCTCTTCTCCCAAAATATTCTCACCTCTTGATTTGCAAGGCTGAAACTAGAGCACTAATTTTTCATGTCCTGCTTCTGTTACTTAAAATGGTTTGAGAAATAGTTCTATTTTTGTGTAAGGTAAAGCTGGAGTCATAGAAACAACATCCCGTTATAGAAAAATAGTGGTCATTTTAATGAAAAAGCCAAGTTCTCTTCAGTACTTAGAGCACACAGATTCTTTGATTTATAAAAATTTTAATGTAACAACTGATTCTAAAGATTTGTAAGAGTGTATATAAACAATCATTTTATATAGGAAAGAAATTTTGCAAGTGAGAAGAATTACTCTGAACACACTTAGGAAAATGGAAATGGTGTGAACATTCTATTATATTCACCTATTCCATTTATTTTCTCAAAATATTTGAATAAAAAGTTTAAATAAAATCAGCGTACACCCATGTTCATAGCAGCATTTTCACACAGCCGAAAGGTGGAAGCGACCCAAGTGTCCACTAACAGATACAAAAACAGATACACAGATACATTAACAAAATGTAGAATAAGCATACAGTGGAATATTGATCTGTAAAAAAAAGGACATTTTGGCACATACTACAACATGGATGAATCTTAAAGACATGCTAAGTGAAATAAGCTAGTCACCAAAGTACAAATACTGTATGAGGTACTTAGAAAAGTCAAATTCAGAGACAGAAAGTCGAGTTGTTGCCAGAAGCTGGGGGAGGGGAGAGGTGAGGAGTTAATATTTAAAGGGTGCAGAGTTTCAGTTGGGGAAGATGAAGTTCTGGAGAAGGATGGTGGTGATGGTTGCTCAGCAATGTATGTAATGCCTTGGAAGTGTATAGTTAAAAATGGTTAAATAGCTACTTTTTTATGTATATTTCACCACAATTAAAAAAAGGAAAAAATTCTCACATGAAGTGTCCCACCCAAATTACAAACAGACGAATGCGTTTGACATGTAATGGGAATGGCCTTCAGATCATACTGCTGTATGGGCCCTTCCTAGGAGTGATGTGGGCACCGCAGACCTTGCCTGGTGTGCACCGTTTGCAACAAGGGAAGTTGAAAACTGAGTATGATTGTTACCTGATTAAATGTCATGCATCTTGCGTGAGGGATTTGTAGTGCTAACCAGAGTTCCCTTATTCTGCCTGTAGGACAAGTGTTGGACAGCCGGAGTCAATCCCCATGGAGATTATCTTTAATAACAGATTTCTTTTGGGGAATAGCTGAGTTCGTGGTTCTGTTGTAAGTATAATAGTGCCCATAACAGCCCTGATCCTTTAGTTAGCAGAAGTACATTAGGTACATTATGTGGAGTGTCTTAAACAAGGTGAGCTTTTTGGAAGCAGTTCTTAATTTGAAAATGTTTTTATTAATAGCTTGACTAGGAGAAATGAAGACTCATTGTGGTAAAGCTGCCCAAGCACCTCGTTTGAGTGGGTATGTCAGTTGAGGTAGTAAGCTTGACCGTGCCTTCGCCTTGGTGGTAATCATTTCAGCCTGCAGCTATGGGGCCAGGCCTGCCCGTTCTGATGCCAAATGGCAGCGCCTCACTTTCTCTGTACTATTCCCGACTTTGGTGTGTATGTATGGCTTATATTCCATATGACACAAGTAAACAAGGGGAATTAGGTCTTGATTTTTAAAAAGAAGTCAATATTTTTTTAAATGAAGGGTTAGAATTGACACAGTGACCAAAAGTTAAACTTGACCATAATTTCAAACAGTTATTTGTAAATGTGTCTTTTGGTCTTTCACTGTTGTTTGTTTTATGAAACTGTTCATCAACTACTAACAAGTCTTAACTCATCTTAAGTTTGAATATATATTTGAGTGCCTCCCAGGCAGAGGACTCCAGGGATGCAAAGATGTGGGAGACAGGCCTTCCTCCACTGACTTTAATATCAGTAAATGTCTTCCTGTCACAAGAGGGGCTGTGCATGATTGTGGGAAGACATCAGAGGAAGTTATTCAAGGCGCAGAAACAGAGAAGACAGCAGAGAAGTTTGAATATCAGGCTGTGATCTTTATGTTAATTTTATTGTACCTGTGGTTTACAAATATTAAGCTGATGGCTACATGTAGCATATATTAGGGTAAAATGGAAGAGGTGGTGCCATTAAAAAGTACAACGGGACACGCCACAAGTTATCCAGTGCAAAACTTCTTTAAAGCCTCTTAGAAAATTTATCTACTCTATATTATTTATTGAGTATTGTTTTAACTTAGTTAAATCCTCTGCAAATATATATCCCTCCACAAATGAAGAAAATTCCATTTAAATAGACTACTAAAAGTCCTGTGCCTCTAGCATACCTCGGCCCCTCCCCGCCAAGGGAACATTACCTAGGCTGTTGGCAGGGGAAATGGGGGAGCAGTGGATGTGGGATACTGGGAACACAGACCCTGGGACCTGACAATTGATGTAGCGTGGAGGACGGAAGTTGGGGGTGACTCTGGTTTCAGAGTCATTCCTAGTTTCGGAGAGTTATTAGCAAATGTGAAAGACAAGGAGTGGTGGCTTTGGCACGGAACATAGCACACTCTGTTTAGACGTGTGCTTGCATCAGATGGTGCCGGCCAGCTGGCTTCAGGACATGCGGGTTTGGTTGTCCTCTCACAGAGATGATAGATCAAACCACGGACACTTTGTATGATGTTGAAAGTGGTACTTCTGTTCTCTGCTTGTTTCAGTTTCAAAACTCTGCTTCAGCAAGATGTGAAAAAGAGAAGAGGCTACGGAAGCTCCTCTGATTCCAGATACGATGATGGAAGAGGGTATAGCATCTTAAATTGATAGTAGTATATGATTTTACCCCTGTGTATTTTAATTAGATATTATAGACAGACAGACATAGTTAGGCTCATGAAAATTAAAGGTTTAAATTCTATTTCACAAATTTAGTGCATTACTATAAATTAATCAAGTTGCCTCTGATTTGATAATCAGAGTTAATTTGGCAAAGCTAAAATGTACACCAAATACCCTATGGGAAAAGTCTAAATGAGAAGATGAAAGCTGGTGGCCAATGTTAAATCTCAGTATTTCCAGCTGATAGTGAAAAACTCAGAAATCAAGTACCACTGGCTTGTGTCTCCCTGTAGCACAAATCAGGGGAGCCGGGTTTCAGTTGGGCATTTTCAGGAGCTGCCGTTCACTTCATCACAATCCTTGCTCGATTTACTTTGTTCAGGTGCACTGTGTGTCTGGTACATGTAAATATTTGAATTTTCCATTCCTGGCCTAAATGATAGTTCCTATTTTAAATAAAAGGGTCTATTTGAGTGGTTAAAAAAAAAACAGTTGAAGTAATGTCTACTAAGCTGTAGAAATCAACTTTTTCCTTTATCAGGCCACCAGGAAACCCCCCGAGAAGAATGGGTCGAATTAATCATCTGAGAGGCCCTAGTCCTCCTCCCATGGCTGGTGGATGAGGAAGGTAATTTAAAATCTGAAGTTACTCTGTGAATTTCATTTTGTAATACCTCCTGAGGAGGGTTTTCTTTAGAATTTTTGCCTTTAAAAAAAATCATTGTGTTTATTATCAAAATGGTTTTTGAGAAAGGGTTTTATAACATGTCATGATTGTTGGATTTTTCATATTGATACAAATTAATGGCTGCTAACTAATTATTGTAATGGTTTCTTCCAGGTAAATGTCTGCTCTAAGAAGCAGACAACTGGACATACGCATTCACAGTAGAAGGGAACCATCAAGAAATGGAGGGCTGACCGTGCCAGACAAGTCGATGAATGTGTGTGTCAAACGGATTGCTCTGTGTCCTCACAGATGAATGAGGTCGTGCTGGGAATTCCCCCCACAGGGATCTGGCAGGACTGACATGCAGTTCTATAAAAGCACGTTTGTCTTCATTGTCCTTTTTGTATAGTTGATGGAAGTGTTCATATAGTTTTAATAAGTAAATATTTTTAGGTTACAAAACTGAACTTCCCATCTTTGTATAATTAAAACACAAAAACTCCAAATACAAAGAAAAATAAAAGCTTACGTACTCAGCACTATTACTGTTCCCTTTTTAAACATATGAAATACAGGTTCACTGTTAATTTGTTCTCATTTATAAATAAATCATACTGTATTTATTTCAGTAGTTCACAAACAATATCTCTGCTCTTGAATTTCCACCTTGAAACAAATTGTCCTCTGAATTTTTAATACAAAGTTACTGATTTGCTTACCAAATAGAATTATCGGGATTTTTATAAAGCTGTAACCAACAAACCTGAGCTACAAAATGAAGATCTGCTAGGTGGTTTTTAAAATCTTAGACCTCAATGCTATCTTGACAAATGTGAATTCTAAACCATTGCTGAAGATACTGCCTATTGGCTTCAACACCCATCTGAATGCTCTCACTCTTTCACCAGGGTGGAAGCACAGTGAGGCTACGGACTTTGTCATTGTGCTTTGGACAGTGACTACATGTAATGGGCATTGAAATATTTGTTAGAAAAATGAAAAATACAGGTAATTCTACTTGATGTTTAGTAGCCAAAGTATTTAAGCGTTTTTATATCCATTTAATAAGTATTTATTCAACCCTTTTGGCCAGGAAAATGGGTATGTAGTGGTGTAAGATACTGTCTTCAAAGATAAGAGGCAATCCTAATTCAAAATTTTAAGGATAAGGGATAAGGAAAATAGATTTTTTGAGCACTCGAGTCTGTGTTCAATGTTTTATATTTTACATATTCTGACAAGCTGAGCAAGGTAGATAATTGCATTATCAGATACATGCAAGGGCTCAGTGAAGTAATATATGATTATACATACGGCTGTTGAATGGCAGGCTCCTGTCAAACCACCTCGGGCTGTAGTGGGGTTGCTGGGGCAGAGTCACAGTAGAGGTGGCTTCTGTGTGCATGTGATTCAGGACGTCTGTTACAGACTCATCCTTAGGGCTTGTCCTAGAGTCCTTGCCACACTGGACATGGAGGTGTCCCGCTCTGCTTGTGACGTAGGCTGCTGTAGTGCAGAGGTAGCCCCTCCTCTAGCTTGTGTTTGAATCTTGTTTTTGCTGCTCAGTAGCTTTTGAGTGAATTATGTCATTCTACCCCAGTTTAGTCATCTGTAATGGGGATTAATTTCCTACCTAAGGGACGTGTCACTCGACAGTATTTAATCAGCAAGTGCTTTCTGGGCACCTACCATGTGCTGAAGATCCCAGCGGCAGGTAAGACAAGGACCCTCTTCTCATGGAGCTTACTATCGAGTGTGGGAAACTTTCTAGTGTGGGACTGTCTTAACCACTTCATATTTTAAACCTCGACACTTGGGCATGTATGCAGGACATTGCAGGAGGGCATTGGATGAAGAGGCTGCTGTCGTCCAGGTGAGATGGCAGCTTGGACTAGGCGGTGGCAATCGGAACGAAGAAGTGGGCGCGTTCAGGCTAAATTTCAGGGACTGCAGGATTTGCTGATGCAGAAGGACTGGGCAGTGATGTTCACCAAGAAGGAAGTGGGAGTAGGCTTGGTGGGGTGCGGTGGAGTGGAGATCAAGGGTTGGGTTTTGAACATATTCATAAATTTACGATGCTTTGAGGACATCCAGGCGGACATTCCGAGTAGGCAGCTCCGGGAGAGCTCCGACTGGGAATGTGTACTTGGGAGTTACCGTTCCCATTAAAGCCGTGAAGCAGGCTAAAGTCGCCGCAGAGATGTAGAGAGGAGCCCGACTCCAGAAAACCCCGACGCTGGGGCTCGACTGCGCACGGCCGTGCAGCATGACACCGGGAGTAGGCTGGTGTCCGGGGGCCAGGCGACGCCGCAAACAGGCCCCAGCCGCCGGCGGGCCCGGGGTCAGAGACCCCCGCGGAAGCGGTCCCCACCCGCCGCGCCCCACTTGGGCGCCGCCCTCCCGTCCTCCCGGCAGGCCCCGCGGCGGCCGCCCCCGCCCTCCCGGCCTGCGCGGGTGGGTGGGGACTGCGCCTGCGCGGGACCCCCGGCTGGCCGCGCTGCGGGCCCGGGAGGCGGGAGGCTGTCGTGTGCCCGGCGCCGCGATGACCCAGGCGGACAAGGGAGACGCGGAGAACGGGAAGGAGAAGGGCGGCGAGAAGGAGAAGGAGCAGCGCGGCGTGAAGCGGCCCATCGTGCCGGCGCTGGTGCCGGAGTCGCTGCAGGAGGTGCGGGCCCCCGGCCGGGGTGGGTCGCCGCCGGTGCCCGGGGACGCAGGGCCCACGGCCTGCCGGGCCCTCCCCCTCTTTCTGCCGGGAGGGTCGGGCCTTTACCTTCTTCAAGGAGATGGAGGTTATTTTGAATGTAAAGGGAAGGAGACACCGTTTGGTCGTTCCCTATCCACTCTAGTACCCGTACTCAAGCTTAGCTTAATAATATCCAAGAAATGATGTGTGGGATAGACTGGCTAGATTTTATTCAATATGTAATTGTTAAAAAATATTCGTCCACATTTTGGAAACCTGCGTTGACTACCCCCAGAGCTTCCAGATCAGTGTGCGGCCTGTGTGCCTTCAATGAGGTCCCTTCACCCCAGTCTGCTGGACGAATGTCTGCAGTAGCACAGGAAGGCTTGAGGAAGTACCGTTTAACGCTGTGCCATGTGAGAGTGGTGCATTCGGCAGGCAACTACTATCCAGTGTGCCATGCGCTGGGCATAGAGTAGTGAATGTGACAGAAGCGGTTCCTTCTGACATGAAGGTGTTGGTTGGAAGGGCAGACAGTAAATAATTACAGGGGTTACAAATAGCATGTATAGGAGGGGTGATAGAAGATTATATTGCAGGGGGACAGGCTAACCTAGTCTGATGACATGTAACCTCAGACCTGAAGGAAGGAGTAAGATTTAACGGAGAAAGAATGTGGCAGGCAAAGGGCATTCATTGCCTGTGAGAAGGCCTGGAAGTCAGCATGGTGAGTTGAGTCAAGAGACATCTAGATTGGTTAGGAATAAAGAGACTGACAAGGAAGTGGCTCTGGAGTTAAGACAGAGAAGTAGGCAGGGTCTTGATCTTGGAGGTTCTGGACAAACCACATGAAGACAGACATTTCTGTTTTTAGTGGGCAGAAAGTTCTCTTCTGGCTGGGACTTTGTCCTTGTCACCATGTACTCAGTGCCCCTGGCACAAAAATGCCCGATAATTAAAAGTTAATTTGCACTGGGTAATTACATGGTTTCATTCATTGAAACCAACATGGGTTGAGCTGCGTACTAGGAGACAGATCCTGGGAACGCAGATACACAAAATGTTTGCAGTTAGGCAACAGTGATGGAATGCTTCTCAAAGAACTCCTTTTACTGAATTATTTGGATACCTTTGAGTCTGATAATCATGGGAAACTAACTTCTTAGTCTAGCCTATTACCTGTATGTTATTTAACTTGTGACCTGCATATTATTTATTAAGGTCACTCTCCCGTGTTTTATATTTGCAGCAAATTCAGAGCAACTTCATCGTCGTCATACATCCAGGTTCAACGACCTTAAGGATTGGTCGCGCCACAGACACACTTCCTGCCAGCATTCCTCATGTCATTGCGCGAAGACACAAGCAACAAGGGCAGCCCCTGTACAAGGACAACTGGCTCCTGAGGGAGGGGCTGAATGTAAGTCAGAGGTGGGGGACCTGGGAGCCCAGCATCGTTTCCTTGGGAGGGCTTAGACATCAAGTATAACAGGAATCTTTAATAAATACCTGCATAGATTTAGTGGCTAAAAATATTATTCAGGGTAACAATGAATGATTTTAAATTATAAAGAAATATGACAAGTAAATCAAAATTCTTTTCTAATTCATCAGTATGCATTAAATATCGATGGTGATCTTTCGTGGAAGATACACAATTGTTAACTCACTTAAAATGATGCATTAAGGTCTCTATGAACTGCCATATTTTTTCTTCCCTATTTGCAGTTTAAAATGAGCTCATATCTTCAATCCATAAGCAAACTGAATTGCTATAATAAGCACTTACTGCCGTTACAGATCACATCATAACTTAAAGGCAAAAAAGTGTATTTCCCTTCAGTTAGCATTTACTTTATCCGATTTTGCAGATGGTGATTATCAGGAAAATTTTTCATGAGAGGTGTTAAAATATGTATATTACATCATAATCTACTTAAGTTTTAAATCCATTTCTGTAATTTTGATAGTAAGCATTAGGGTTCCATTGTTCAGCATTACTAGCAGACTGCTTACATCTGTTTCTAATCTTAAATAAAACTTTATAAGACTCTAAAATCCATTTATATCTTTGGATCTTATAGCTCTACTTTAGGGCATAAATCTCAGGAATAAAAACTGATAGGAAACCAAGAAAAAAACATTTCTGCAAAGATATTTATGGATATGGTCTTTACAAGTAATAATAACTTGAATAATTGCTGATTAAGCAAAATAACACCTGAAGGAGCATAATATTGTTACAAAATTGTAAATACTGAGAAATACCTGGATGATTA